TTTTATTTACTCTTCCACGGTAGCAAATTATTTACACGCGTTGTTATATTTGTGTAATCGGTCGGTCGTTGAATTTAATGAACGAAAGATAGGAAGTAGTATCGGTTGGCGAGCATGAAGAATATCTCGTATTTACGAGAGAAACATTTTCAAGTGCGGCCACGAGGAAGAAATCTGACGCAAGCAAGACGCCGGCTTGTAATTCCTTCTTGCTTCCACATAGAAGAGACACGCAAAAATATGTAAATACGTAGGTACGAGACGATATATACATACATAAATACTTATGTACGTGGTACGTATGTATTTACGTATAAACGCGAGACGCGAGGCGCGTAACTACATGGCGATAATTTCGTTCATCTTATCTTATCGCGACAGTTCAATGTCAGCCCCTGAAGAGTATTCCGCGTCCTTGGTCTTACGGGTTAATTATTTTCGATTGGGTAACCATGTACCGACGACGTTCTCTACGACTGACAATTTGTAGGAAAGCTTTTAACCGGCAAAATAGATAAAGCGGAAAATGAAAATTAACTTACCCAAGATGAGTCTGGCGCACGTGTTCCTCTATCAGAGGTACTGTAGCCTTGATTTCGAGACAACCCTTCCATGTACATTTGAAGACTACTGCGGCGTTCGCCTAATGAAGAATCGAGAAAAAGAAAAAAGAAAAAAAAGAAAAGAAAGATTATTTCTAAATCATTTAAATTTTATCATTTTTAATTTAAATCATATAAAATTGTGAAAGAGATTCTTATAAAAAGAAAGGAAAAGAATTAAAAAAAAAAAAAAAAAAAAAAAAAAAAAAAAATAGAAAGAGGAAGATACGATAATTGCAGCGAGAAAAGATGCGGCTTTGTTGTTCGTGTTGCAAATTGGTAATTGTGTGAATTTGGTTGATCGCGTTGGTTCGAAAGAAGTAAGAAAAAGAAGAAAAAAAAAAGAGAAAAGTAAAAATAAAAAAAGGAGAAAAAGAAATCGATCAGAGACGACGGCTCGAGTATAATCGCAAGAGAGCGAGAGCGTTTAGCTGTTCCTTTGTTTACATCAGACCGGTGGTGGTGGTGGTGGTGGCGGCGTCAGCCGAGAGAAAGAGAGAGAGAGAGAGAGAGAGAGAGAGAGAGAGAGAGAGAGAGAGAGAGAGAGAGAGAACGCAACGAGAAAGGAGGCAACACGGTGCGGAGGCGCCGGTCACGACGACTGTCACGTGCTATTGATCCAGGAACGATGCACACAACCCCCATTTACGAAGGACGGTCTGACTGAGTGACTAGTCGTAGAACGAACGAACGAACGAACGAAGGAAAGGAACGATCGTGCGTGTTACACCTACGTGAAAAAAAAAAAAGAAAAAGAAAAAAGAAAAAAGAAAAAACGTCTCGAAAGACCTTAGGCTAAGCTAGGCTAGGCTAGAATAAGGAGACCTGGAACAAACAGCGAACTTTGCTGGTGTCATCGGCCGTAGTGGAATTTAGGGATTAAAAATTCAAAAGGGAGAACTCGAATCGTGCGCGAGCTGAACGACGACTTACAACGTTTAGCGTGAGATAGTCAGACGACGGATCGTTATCGTTTAACTCATAATACCTTCAAAGTCCTTATCGTCTTTATCGTCGTCGAGAATTAACGATAGATCGATCGATGGATCATCGATCGATCATCAACCAACGGATAATAACTTCGGCAAATGTATTAATCGTTATAAATTCTATCCAACGAAGTATCATATATACATGTATATATATGTATGTATGTGTGTCTATGTACATATATATATATATATATATATACATATATACATAAATAGATAATAATCTCACAATAAAAATGCTCTTTTTTTTGTTTTGTTATCATATAAATGCATATATATATATATATATATATATATATATATATATATATATATATATATAAAGAAAAAGCGAACGACAAAATCTTACGTACATACGAATCATCTTTCTTTGTTCAATACCTTTTGACCTCTAATCCGCACGAACGAAACGAATGGAGTAACAGGTGACTCCAATGCTCCCGCGATTATAGCGAGCCTGTAAAGTTGAACGACTTTCAAATCGAATCGTTCCGTGATCAGGAAACGAGAAAGAGAGAGAAAGAGGGAGAGAGAGAGAGAGAGAGAGAGAGAGAGAGAGAAAGAGGATAAAGGATGCCTCGTGACATCATCATCCCTCGTAAACGATACGCGCTGATCACGTCGTATAAAGCGGGATAGCGATCGCAACGGTCACAGACCTACGTTGCCCGGTAGACATTGCCCTCCATTTGCTTTGCCTTGCCCTGCCTTGCCTTGCCTTGCCTTGCCTTGCCTTGCCTTGCCTTGCCTTGCCTTGCCTTACCTTGCTTCGCGTTTGCCTTGCTCGACCGTTCATTCGCTGCAACTTGAAAGTCTACGTGCTCTCTCTCTGTCTGTCTCTCTCTGTCTCTCTATCTCTTTCTTTCTTCTTCTTCTACCACTACATCGTTCTCCTTACTCCTTTCTCTCTCTCTCTCTCTCCCTCTCTCTCTCTCTCTCTCGCTCTTTCTTTTCTTCTCTTTTGTTACGTTGCACGACGACGAGGACGACGACGAGGACAATCTCAGCACACAGTGGTTTTGTTACGATTCGATCTATCCGCCACGTCTTCAATGTTCGGCCTTTTCGACCGAGATATTCGTACGAGGGGAACGAGACGCAATTTCTTGCTTGCTTCGCAATAACGGTATCCCAGTTTCGATATATATATATATATATATATATATATATATATACATGTTTATATGTATGTATGTATGTATGTGTGTATGTACATATATCTTATATACGCGATATATTGTGGAAGGTCGAGAAAATTCTCAACGAGGGAGGACAGATATTATACGTCAACTTTTCTCGCATCCAAAAATTCTACTAGAAAGAACAAGAGAGGGAGAAGGGAGAAAGAGGGGAGAGAGAAAGAGGGGAGGGAAGGGGGGAAGAGGGATAGAAAGATGACGTTCAAGCTTCCAAGAGTTATCTCCAGTCATAATAATAAATTATTCACTCGCAATTTCGTTAATGCAAGCTGTTGCATCCGAGTTCAAACATCGATATAACATCAGGTCTTTCTATCTCCTCTAACCCTTCTCTCTCGCGCATGTATATATATATATATATATATATTTTACCGGCAAAAAAAATATATATATATATATATTTTACCGGCAAAAAAAAAAATATATATATATATATATATATATAAGAAACTTGTATCATTTGTAACGTTTCGAAAAGACAATTTTCTCGAGATATATGTTATCAAAGAAATACACGAGAAATGTGGTCGGATAGGACGAGGAAGAGTAGGAGGATAGGGGAGGAGATAAAGGAGGTGGAGAAGAAAGAAGAAGAAGAAAAAGAGGAAAGGAGAAATATAAAACAAAAAGTTGGTTCACCCCAAAGACGGAGTAGTGTACAATGTTGATCATCGTGGTTTGTAAGCTATAACAGGGTTGCCGAGTATCTTTCATGGATGCATCGTGTACGGGGTATACAATGTTGCCGATAGTGGACTCGAGAAAGAGAGAAAGAGAGAAAGAGAGAGAGAGAGAGAAAGAAAGATAGTCTACGGGGTGCACGCGCACGGTCTGATCGGAGAGCACCGGCCATACCGAGCTCGTCCAAGCGAGTCTCCCTCTCTTCCCACGTCTCTTTTTTTTTTTCTTCTACGCAACACGCAGCACCGCACGACATCTTCGCGACGAGTTCTAGCAGAGAGAACGTAGTAGGAAAGGGACTCCGATAGGCAATGAGCCACAACAGTAATAGCAATAGCAATAGCAGCAATAGTAACAACAATAACAACCACCATCACTACAATCAACGGCAGCACCACCAAACTATCATCATCATCAACATCATCATCATCATCATCACTACTTCCACCTCCATCTCTACCTTTATCTCCACCTCTATCAACCTCTTTCTTCGCGTTTCCAAAGTAGTAAAGTCGAACGACGTATAATTAGAATGAGCACGCGGATACCCCGCATGTTCGCGTCAAAGCAACATAACCTACAAATTAGAATTCCAGTCAAGGTCTCTCTGTTGAAGGTGCCTGTTATTTTGCTAGCTCCGAGATAATTTACCTATGGGGAAATTTATATATATATATATATATATATATATATATATATATATATAAGTTGACGCATGTTTCTTAAAATAAAAAGTATAAAAGGGAGAAAAAGAATAAAAATATATATCGAAATAAGGAAGGAAAATGAAAAAATAAAACCCAGAACTACGTAGTGGATCTTAATCGAAAAGTAATAATGAAATATGATGAGCTAAAGTATCAGCTAGTACCACTAGTAGTAGTTCTTCGTTACGTCAGGCTTAAACTTCACGAGCGACGTTTTAAAAGCGTGCGAGAAATTCCAGCTACGTGAAAGCACGCACGAAAGTTATAGGAAAGTGCTTCCCACACTCTCTGTGGCACGGGCGAATGGAACGAAAGTAAACGATCATACATGTATGAGAAACCTATGCGAGTGAACCTAACCGAGCGTATATCATATACATATATATATATATATATATATATATATATATATAAATATATGTTTACTTATGTACATATGTAAATACATTGAAAAGAGAAGTCGATAAATCGATCCCACTATTTTCATGAGTATAGTACATATACACAGACACATACACATAAATATATATAAGCATACGTACACATGTGTATATATATATATATATATATTATATGCACATATGTATTCTATATAAATCTATGTGGTAAGACTATAAAGAGAATTTTACGATTGTAAAATCCTAGAAGAAGTCGAAGCATTTCCGTAAGCGTGAAAGTCCGAAACGCATCGGTGCGCGACGCGAAGGGTCGTAAAAATCGATCCCTAAAGTGGGTACCTACAGAAACAGTCTAGTGCTACTCATTTCCACGCTTTCTCTGTGCACCCAACGAACGAACCAACGAACGAACCAACGAACGAACCAACGAACGAACGAACGAAAGGAAGAAAGGAAGGAAGGAAGGAAGGAAGGAAGGAAAGGAAGAATGACTATGACGACTACGACAACAACGACAACGACAGCGACAGCGACGAGGATAGAGCAAGAGGAATCGTTGGGAAAAGGGCAAAGGGAAGAAGGAAGAGGGAAAAGGTGGGGAGGAGGATAGAGGTAGGGGCGAGAGGGAGGGAAGAGAAGAGAAGCGCCTCGTGGGACACGAGTGCACTGGCCGGCGATACGCACGCGGCGTCCTCGGCGCCCCTCTCGATGCAAGTGAGCGTGTGCGCGCGCGAGCGCGAGAGCGAGCGAGCGAGCGAGCGAATTAGAGAAAGAGAGAAAAAGAGAGACTCCTTCTTCTCGCTCGCACACGCTAGTTCACAAAGTCACGAGCGTCGATTTTCTCAGCGAAATCCCACTACCTACTACTATCGTACGAGCGATTACGCTTTACTATTACTAGACTTATTATACTCGTCCTTTTCCCTCACTTCCCCCTCTCTTCCCACACCTCAGGAAGAGATCCTGAGACAGGTTATTGTTGTATGTTATTATTTGTTGTTGTTATCATTGTTTGTTGTTATGTTGTTGTTGTTGTTGTTGTTGTTGTTGTTGTTGTTATTGTT